AGAATTTGCCCTCACTTTAAAAACCCTTACCGTAAAGATCTTAGGTGCTCCAGTGAAAATCTTAGGTCATTACACTAATTATGCATCCACTAATTGAGAAAAAGTTGTATTTGACAACGTACCTGTCAAGTGAGAATGTTCTTAAAAAAATACTTGACATGAACAAATATAAATTCTATAAAATTTTCAATTATACAGTCACATCACTTTTTAGAAATCCCAAATTCACTGTGACCAATATGTCTGCTAAAAACAACACCAAAATTTCCACTTCACGGACAAAACCCCACAAAAACTAAGGGGCATTGTAATTATTCTCTGTGGGTTACTTGGCCTTGGAACGTGAGCGTTCAATGTTCATGATGTTAACTTCGGCTCAAGTGAGACAAGTTCTGAGGGGTTAAGTGGAAAAAAACAAAACAAAGTTTAGGGAGTTATGTCCAACCCATCCAAAGTCCAGGGGTTTTTGAGCGATTAACCCTATGAAAAAATGTCGCGACGAACGATAGGGTTTTTGGGATTTTAGGTTTATTCCCCTACTCGAAATCAAACGAAAATGGCGAATCTCCTCTCTCACGCCCGTCGCCGTGCCTTCAGCATCAATCGATCTCAAACCCTAGCTTTCCTGCGATCCTTTTCTTCACCTTCCCCATCTCAAACCTTAGCATCGTCGTTCCGGCGGCCGTGGACTCTCGAGGACACAAGGTTCGTCAACGGCGTGCCCTCATTCAAGGTCGATTCTTTCCTTCTGCTCCCTTAAAAGTTCAGATTTTGACGGCTTTATATGGTTCGAATTCGTGAATCTGTTGATAATGATGAATGCCTAAATTCCTTTCTGCGTTTTCTTTGGTTTCCCTGTCTAATTCTCAAAATAGCAATCTTGCATTGATATTTATAAACCTAATGCTGAGTATTTGCAGGTTGCTTCTCTGTTTGGGGCTTACAAAAAGTTCTGTACTTATGAGGCGCGAGAAAGTGAAGGCGTTATCCCGTCGGAGTTGTTAACGAGTAAAAATGCGACGGCACCTAATCGAAATATAGGTATTTGCTGTAATTTTCTTTATTCAAATGTTTCTTGTTTGAAACAAATATGGACTTAGCTCATGGGTATAATGATTTCTACAATTTTGTCATTCCATTTGATAAAATTATTAACTTGGGTCATCCATCGAATGATTGTTAATTAATAAAACAAGTAACTTGTGATTTTTATTTAAGCTAGGTTCAGGGGATATCTTTAAGACCCAGAAGCGGAGAGTACTAGTTACGGATACCAATTCAACTTGCTATTTGGGTTTTTCGCATGTGTGCTTTTGCTATGTCGTTATAAATTGGACCCTTTTAATTTTTATGGGTTCACTTAGATTACTCATGTGATAAATAAACTTTGGTGTCTTATGTAGTTCCTCCTAGTAAAAAGTTGAGAAAATTAGCTTGGTTTACTTTTTTTAAAAAACCTTTTTAGTTTGACTATCAGTAAAGCACTTCTTTATTGAAAATTTTCTTTATGGCATATTAGTTTTGTGTAATCAAATAACTGAGGATTGTTTTAGTTTTATTTCTTTTTTTTTTGAGAGAGAAGGATGGATTACTGTTAATCATAACAGTAATCCAGCCAGCTAAATTAAAGAAACTTGGCTGTTACATGGATATACACATCCCCAACCAAGAAGAATGTGCACTTGAGTTCAAACAGGATTTACAGACCAAAAGAAAACTCCTTCCCCCACAAAAATGACAAAAAACAAACTCCTGCTCCACCACAGAAGCTTTACCCCTTCCCAAACATGAGAAAAAACTATCAGCTACCACCACTACAAAATAGTAGACCATTTTAACTACATACAGTATTTTAAAGCTCAGAAAACAGAACAAGTTTAATATTCTGGAGAAAAAAATCATTCAAGTTGAATCACTGTGTTCGCAAGCCTTCCAGCATCATTTGTAGAATGACCTTCAGGAGCTCTTTTCCTTCTCCTCTCCTGAAGCCTGGCAGTTCGAGCTGATAAAGGCTTAGAACCTAATCAAAATGATGAAAATGTCAAAACTTTGCTCAAAATCTCTAGAGCTCTCTTCCTCTTGTTTGAAAAGATTCTATCATTGCGTTCCTGTCATATACACCATATAAGAGAACATAAAGTAACATCTCTTTCCACATTCCATTTAGCACCCTTATCCATATTCCAATTATTCCAAATATCTTTTAAAGAATTCAACTTAAATTCCTTATCAATATTCAATTTATATTGAATAGATCTCCATGTAGAGTATACAAACTCACAATCCACAAAAAGATGGAAATGATTTTCCTCTTCTTTAGAACATAAACAGCACATCAAATCCAAATGAATACCTTTTTTTTCTAGTTTATCTTTTGTATTTAGCTCTTGTCTTAAAGCCAACCAAACAAGAAATTTTACTTTTAAAGGAACAGGAAGCTTCCAAAGATTTGCACAATCAAATCTTAAACCCCCATCACTAAGAAAATGGTAGTAAGATTTAACTGTAAAATTGCCTTTAGCTTCCTAAATCCATTTTCTCCCGTTCTTCCTTTGTTCAAAGTTTAAATCTCTGATATCATTCAACAGCTTGAAATATTGGAAAACAAAATTTCTAATCAATTGTCTTTTAAATTGTATGTTCCATGTCCATTCATTATTCACCTTCTTTCTCACACTACTGATAGAAGCAAAAGGAAAAGAAGTGATATTAAAAAGAGAAGGATAAACCGAAGCAAGAGTAAAAGAACCTACCCATTTATCAAGCCAAAATAAGGTTCTATTTCATTTCCCCACATCCACATGAGTACTGCATAAAAAGCTTCTAATATTATGAAAATAATTCCTCCAAAACTGTGTTAAAAGGTTTCTACCAGAATAAAAAAATTCTGTCCAATTTCTTCTCTCAAAGTACTTGTAGAAACTAATTTGCTTCCAGAGTTCCAGTTTATTATCAAACCATTTTCAACACCATTTTCCCAACAGAGCTTTGTTCATAATTTTTAGATTTACAATCCCCAAACCTCCATATTGTTTAGGTCTACAAACCCAACAGAGCTTTGTTCATAATTTTTAGATTTACAATCCCCAAACCTCCATATTGTTTAGGTCTACAAACCTCCTCCCATTTAACCAAATTAGAAGAGCCTTTATAATCAAGAGAACTAGTCCATAAGAATCTTCTTCTCATTTTATCAATTTTGTCTATGAGCCACATAGGAAATAAAAAGGACAACCAAAAAATTAGCATAGAGGAAAGAACAGAGTTGACTAAAACTAGTCTCCCCCCTCTTGATAAAGTTTTTCCTTTTCATAAGGCTAATCTTCTCTCAATCTTCTCAATCAAAGGAGACCAGTCTGCTTTTTTTAATTTTCCAGGTCTCAAAGGAACTCTAAGATAAGTAATGGGAAAATTCTCACTTTTACAATTCAACATAACAGCTAAATTCTGTTGCAAAGTTTCATTATCCTCAAGAGTATAAGCACACTCTTGTTAAAACTTATTTTAAGTCCAGAAGCAATTCAAAACAATATAAAATTATTTTTAACACTGTTAACTGCTCTTTTTTATTTTTGCAAAAAATCAAGGTATCATCCGCATATTGTAGACAACAGATTTTATGAGGCATATTATTTGGACCTAAACCTTCAATAAGGAGAGAATCAACAGCTAAATTCATCATCCTAGTGAAGTAGTCAGCTGCCAGAACAAATAAAAGAGGAGATAAAGGGTCTCCTTGACGAACCCCTCTCTTGGACATAATCCAACGCGCAATTTTACCATTTATATCAATGACAGACATACCTCCTCTTAAACACAAATTAATCCAATTTAGCCATTTAGCTCCAAATTTTTTGGCTTTCATAACCTCCAAGATGAAATCCCAGTCTAACATGTCATATGCCTTTACAAAGTCTAATTTTAATAAAATCCCTCCCCTTTTGTTATTCTGAAAATAATCATTTATAATTTCCTGAGCTGCTGTCACCCCACCCCATCCATCAAAAATCTATTTTTAATGAAACCAGATTGAACAGGGTCAATAAGCTTTTCAAGCTTAGAATTCAACCTATTAGTCAAAACTTTAGTAATCACTTTGTAAATCACATTTAGAAGACTGATAGGCCTGTAATCATTAACCAAGGAAGTCTCATTTTTTTAGGGATAAGCACAATATGAGCATAATTGAGTCTATTTATTTCTAATTTGCCTTCATAAAACTCCACAAACAATTTCATAATATCACTTTTCACTGTTTCCCAAAAAACTTGGTAAAACAAGGTGGAAAAACCATCTGGACCAAGAGATTTATCACCATTCATATCAAAAATAGCTTTATGAACTTCCTCCTCAGAAAAAGGAAGTTCTATATCAATAGATCCCCAATCTTCCAAAAGAAAAAGCTTATTCCAGTCCAGCTGACATCTATAAGGTTCATTTTGACCAAAAATCTGATTATAGTGATTAGAAAAAATCTGTGCAATACCCTCTTCAGAACTGACCTCTGTATCATTCACTGTAATTGAAGCAATCAGATTATTTCTTTTCCTGCCATTAGCAATTTTATGAAAATAAGCAGTATTATTATCTCCTTCCTTAAACCAATGTGCTTTTGATCTTTGTTTCCACATCTGTTCTTCTTGAAGTAAGATCTCATTCAACTGAATGGAAATATCATTTTTCTTGACTAATTCATCATCAATTTTAGTTTTATTTCTTACCTGCAGTTTATACTATACTTTTAGGATATGCATTCCCTCTAGATATAAACTAGGCTTTAAGCTACAGATAGAATCATAGAGCCTCTGAGTACTACATAGGTCTCGTAGAACCTCTGAGTGGTACATAGGTCCTTTAAATGTTGGATAGAAGAAAGATTATCATCATGTAGTAGGTCCAGGCCCTTCATTTGCATTCGTAAGCTTGCCTGATCCAGTTGGGGAACTGTTTTTGTTGGACATGAATATAGGTGCCTAGGCTGTGATCAAAGCTGTCAAGATATGCCATGTATCTTCTTTCATATTCCCTATCTCGTATACAGTATCATATCTTGTATCATAATCTATAAGATCAATTTTCATGGATACAAATAGTTATGTCATTAAGTATATATAACAAAAAAATATATGAAAGGTTTATAACATGGAGTCATTCATTGATAACTCAGGCAAAATGATAAATGACATGCACTAGCCTATAAATTACTGAATCCAAATCAGTCGAAGGTAAATTACATAATTATAACATAAACATGAAAACTGAACTTGGTACCGCATGTGATAAATTTTTTTATCACTATCATTAACTTCATAATGTGGCAAATATCACTCAAGAAAATCCAATGATTACAATGCCATCAACTAAGCTGAAGCCAGGAAATTCTCAAACATTATTTTCGTTGATCCTCTAAAACAAAATTTTTTATATTATAAAATGCTCATTCTATTGCTCGTTCTTTTAATCAGTGTCAAAAAATGAACACAAGGCCATGACCATCACAAATTGCTCCTTCTCTAAAACAAAATTTTGCTCTTGCTTCTTGGTGCCTTACGTGCCTAGAAATTCTAGTTTCGCCCCTAAAATCAGTGAATGTCTCATGATGCCTTTACTTGGAACTTTCACAAAAACACCTGTGCCATTGTCAAGTTCATGACTTGCTGATTGTTCATATTGGTTTATTTTTCCTTCTCATGCCTAAGTTGAAGCTTTACTCATTTCTTATCTTAGTCTATTTTTTTCCTTCTCTTGCCTAAAGCTTGTCTAAATTGATTCTATTGTTGCAGGAGAATATGCTGACCTAGTAACGAGAGTGACCAACTTTCAAAATGAGGACAAGGGTCTCATTGTCTTGGCTGGTGATGTTTTTGATGTGCCCATTAGGAAGGATATAATTCACCGAGTTGTGCGATGGCAGCTTGCCAAACGACAGCAGGTATTTATAACTAATAGTCTAAGAGATTATATATTTAAATTTCTGTTTGCAGGATGCTATTAGCTTTATTTTGAACGTTGCATTTGCAATTTATGTGGAATTTAATTCTACAATTTTGACAGGTTAAGATATGATCATCATCTAACGTTTATTGTTATCTTTGCTTCTCATTTGCCTTTGTGTATTGTACTTCTTGATTTTTTATACATAATATGGTAGCAAACTAGAAATTAGAATTTTTTTTTTCTAAAATAAGGATGGAAACGTTGTACCATTGAAACTCAAACAGCTACTGAAATAAGGAGAATCCACAAATGCTGTTTATTTTCATTTGAAATTTAAGGCACGGTCTGCTTCTTTATTAATTGAGATTCAAGGCAGCAGTAATGTGCTCATTTATTAACTGCAATTCGAGGCACTGCTAGGCTTCTTTTAGTCCTTTATTTATTGATAAACAATATCCTTGGTTTCTTTTTAGTTGTTAATCTAGATTTGAGGTGATGTTGAGTCTGCTTCTAAATTTAATGTAGTTGGTCTTTTATATATTATTATATCTTTTCCTTATTCTGCTTCTGCTTGATGAGAAATGTTCTCTTTGCTTCATCTCTTATCTTTCTTTTGCTTCATCTCTTATCTTTCTCCTTACGTTGCTACTTTCTTGATAATATCTTCTTATGCGCAGGCAACAATGAGAAGTTTTAGTTTGAAAACAAGGATGAAAATGATATAAATATTGAAGTTTGTTGAATTACTGAATTATAATCCTGTTTGAGGGAGGGAGCAAACTGAGGTGAAGCGCACACACCTAGGTTGCATGAGTATGAGTACGGATACCAGTATGGGTATGGGTACGGGTACGGGTATGAGACATGATAAATTTGTAAAAGGTAGGTTATGGTGACATGGCTATATAAATATTCATATACAAATATATTGGAATTGATACTTTATATGAGAACAAGGATGAGAATTAAATTTCCTATAACTTTTTTATGTTTCTTTTATTATGTGGATTGTAGATTGGAAAAGTACTAGTTTTTGAACTAGACATCCAACCAACCCTCTTCAAAATCATAATTCGAAACTTGATCTATGTCCAACAAGTTTCAAGAAGTGGATGTGAAGTGTAAGGTATATGCCCAAAAAATGCATGACAAGTATTTTAAATAAAAACATGTATTGTATAATTGGATACATGCCCGAATAATGTATGCATATATGTAAGGAGTGTCCAAGGAGTTTGGGTATGGATATAGGTGCGGGTCCAGATTAGAAGAACGCTGGTAACATAGACACATCCAAACTGAAGTTTTGGCATATTGCATTTTCCTTGGGAAAATGCAATTTCAGTCTTATAATGCTGTGCTTGTAAAGGACATGGACGTGTGTGAATAGTCAACTTTTAAATAAGGGGTTTTGAGGTTCAGGGTCTTGGACTGAGAAAGGCGATTTATTTCAGTTGTAAAAGGTTATGTGGGAGTTATATATTCCAAGGTATTGTTCTGCTAAAAAATTAGTACCCAGACCTACTTTGATCCATGCCTATTTGGTGGTTGGCCGGTGCCAATAGCCAATGAAGCAGAAAGCTAGATAAACTTTTACTGCTTTTAATATTTTCCACTAGCCACATACGTTATACATAACACTAGTCAATAAATGGTGGTGACCCTTCAAGTGTTGGAGGCTAGGCTAGAGGAAGAAAGGATCATATCTTGCCCCTGTTCAATGATCGGTCCAGCTCAGTTCACGGGGATAATATGATCAATACATTAGTAAATGCCTCGACTAATTTTTTTCTATAGATTACAGATCTAAAAATAAAAGTATTCCTAGTTATCATATTCGATGGTGTAATATAAAACCAGCAAATTATGTTATGCATTCATTTGTAGAATGATCGGATGATATGCCTTTTAATTGCTTTCATGATGATTAGATATATGCATGTGTTGCATTCTTTTACATGAAATGTTGTCTATCTCACAGGGGACTCATTCGACTAAAACAATAAGTGAAGTCAGTGGTACTGGGAAAAAGCCCTATAATCAGAAGGGAACTGGAAGAGCAAGGCATGGGACATTGCGTGGTCCACAGGTCACTTGTATAACTTTTCTTTTAGATTCCTGTCCTTTTACTGTTTATGTTTCTGCTTTCTAAAGTGTAGTGTAAGTTTAGTTATCTTGCTTACTGTTTTAATTTTCCAATTTAATATGAAAATGGGAAGAAATTCCTCTTTACAAGATGTAATATTTAGGAGCCTGTCCTCCCAATGGGACGTCCCTTAATGGGAATGATGTTCCTTCAAATATGCTCGCACCTGAAGTTGCCTGTCCTCCCAATGGGACGTCCCTTAATGGGAATGATGTTCCTTCAAATATGCTCGCACCTGAAGTTGGAACATATAACCTCCCATATCTTAGGGATGTGCTCAACCAACTTCTCTATGTTATTCTTATTGTAATTTAAGCTTTAGCATAATCATTTGAACATCATTTCTCTTATAACAGTTTAGAGGTGGTGCCGTTATGCATGGGCCTAAACCACGTAGTCATGCAATCAAGCTGAACAAAAAGGTCCGGCGACTTGGACTGAAAATTGCTTTAACAGCTCGTGCAGCAGAAGGCAAGGCATGTCTCTATCTTCCTTTACTAAAAGCAGTTTTATCTTATATTTGGATTAAATTTTGCTTGGTTAGAAGACACCGCTTTGTGACAAATATTTCTGATGTTTCCAGTGATGGTGTTTCTCCTTAGCTGTGGTAAAATTAATATTTTTCTCAATTAAGAAAATTTAGATTGGCTATCTAAACTTCTCTCCATTGCTATCTACGGGATAGTTTAGGTTTTTGTTTAATTATTTCTACCCTCTCAAATTGGAAAGTGTCGTCATAACACATTGAAGAGTACACTAGCCATTACAATTATCTGAACCAATTTGAGTGGTCTAGTGTGGGCTAATGCCTTTGACATCTGAAAGAGCAGAAAACTGAATGGCTTAAATTAATGTAATTGTTCTAGTTCTTAAAACTCAAGACAAAATTGTCAGACGAGCAAAACTAAGAAACATGTATTTTTTTTTGTTGTAATTGCGGTTCTAAACAAGTAATTGTTATTTTTCAAATTTAAAGAGTTTCAAAAATCTTGAATCTATAACGGCTATAGGAGCAAGAGGAATTCAATATTTTTCCAACATCCCCCAGGGAATATCAACTATACAAAAACTTATCCCTCGAATTTTCTGCGGGAAAAAACAAATAGATTCACCGTTCCACGCTTTATACAAATAAGAAAATTTCTAAGGAGTTTCTTATTCTTGCAGCTTTTAGTTTTTGAGGATCTTGAAGTTCCGAACCACAAAACAAAGAACATAGTAAATTATGTTTCTCAGATGGAGGAGACAAAGAAAGTTCTGTTGGTGGACAGTGGTCCTATAAGCGACAACCTGAAGCTTGCCACTGGAAATCTCCATTATGTGAATGTCCTTCCTTCAATTGTAAGTAGTTAAAAGCAAATGTTTATATGAGGATTATCGATATATTGATAGATTGTAATGTTTTCGAGTTCCACTTCTGATTTCTATCTTGATGCAACTACAGGGTCTGAATGTTTACAGCATCCTTCAACATGATACACTTGTCATGACTCGGGATGCAGTAGATCGGATTGTCACCAGGATGCATACCCCTATCAAACGATGATTGAGGTCACTGAACATGAGAAAGAGAGTTTTATGATCAACCTGGTGTCAGAAGAAACTGAAATCCTACGGTGGGCAGAAATGCTATTCTAATTTCTAATATTTCTTTAACTATAATATAAACTGCCTAACCAGTTGTCCATGAGCATAGCATCATTTTATTCTGACAATGTTCTAAATGATGTGCCTGAAAACCCATTTCCAGTTGTCCATGAGCATAGCATCATTTTATTCTGACAATGTTCTAAATGATGTGCCTGAAAACCCATTTGGCAACATGTATGCCAACAGAGAACTTTTATTCTGACAATGTTCTAAATGATGTGCCTGAAAACCCATTTGGCAACATGTATGCCAACAGAGAACGGGCTTGAGGCATAAAACAGGCCAGAAGAAAAATTTTGTGTGAGACAACCAATGATGTAGTATATCTTTGTTATTGGATAGTATGAAATTGTTGATTAGCTTCAAACCCTCGTGAAAATAAAGTCATTAGACAGAGTGATGACATTTTTCATGAATGAACTTATTACGCTTAAGCAAAGTCAACCTCTAACAGTAGCAGTACTAGCATGTCGAGGTTCAACGTGTTAGTAAGGCGGTTGTTAGCTAGAATTTTACTTGAACTGCCAACTTGTGGGCAGAGAGTTCTGGTATTATGACCATTTTTCTTCCTCCCTTGATATCTGTGATTTCTTCGCGAAGTTCAATAGTTGTTAATGTGTGGTTACCGTCTTTGTGGCAACGAGAATGGTGAACATAGGCAGGGTCGCAACTTCGACAAGTGGGAATAACTCTTGCTCTCCAGCACATGAAACTATGGTAGTATGCCAAGTACTCCTTTCACCCTGAGCACATATACTATATTCAGAGGCTAGAATGGGGAGCAGCGTTGGTGTTTCATCCTTCTAATCTCTGAATATGGTATACTTGCTCAGGGTGAAGGGACCACTAGGTCAACTACCATAGTTAATGTGTGTTGTACTTGTGTGTGTTTGTTTGCGTGTGTTTTTAGTTCTTACTTGAGGCCAGTCTATTTACTTTCGGTTTTTCTCTAGAGTGCCCATGGGCACTCTATAAGAGAGGAGAGAGATAGATAGAAATGAATAGCCCATGGGCCCCCCTGATTTGCATTAATTTCTGTGCATAATTCATTTCTTTCTCTCTCCTCTCTTATAGAGTGCCCATGGGCACTCTATAGAAAAACCGATTTACTTTTAGTTAACATAGCCAGCCTGCTAGCTGGTATGCCGAACACAGAATCGGCCTAGTTTTCCTTCGCCAAAATGTGGCTTTTAAACTGATTCTATGTTGGACCAAATCCCCTTAGTTTAAACTTGGTCTAGTTCAGGATGAACTGGACCAGAATTGATTCTGACCCAATTTTGCTAGGATTGTCGTACACAGTCTGAGAATTAGGTTTTGAACCAAGGTTGTATCTGCATAAATCTAATTTTATGGAGCCGTCAAACACAACCTTTTTATACGTGATCTGTTACATCATTCATGGAGACGGGGGGAAATAAAACCCCTTTCCCCAGTTTCTTTGTTGGGAAAGAAGTTTGTACGCTAAACTGTCGTAGAGGTAAGAAAATATTGTAGATTAGTCATTAAATATTAATCATATCATAACAAGTGACGTACCGGTTTCTTGTTTACTTATTGCGTGATTAAGTCATGACATGTGATGCATGTTATTTTTATACTTACAATTACGGAGCTAGATGCCAATTCTTTTGTTGTCAATCTTCTGAAGGAATCGCTGATTGACCCTATCGGATATGAAACTCGGTAGTATTTAAAATCCTTAGAATGTTATGATATTTATCTTTTGGCAACTTGTATACATTAAAAAATTGAGACGTTGTGGATACATTTTGAATAGAAGGGCCTTAGATGAGATTTAAGAAGGAAACTATTCTCCTAAAGAACTACGGTTTCTGTTTCTTGCGGGAACATGATGCAGAATGGTGGTCTATTTATGAGGTCAAATTAGCAAAGATTTAAGAAGAAAACTATTGATTTTGGCTAAGTGTCACTTTTACACCCCCCCAACCCAACTAATCCTCTAAGCATCTGTTGCTTGTACCACGCATCAGAACAATTTAGATTGGAAAAAAAAATTTACATCTTTTATCTTTTGGCAGCTCGTCTACATAAAAATGATAAAATATCGAAACCTTCTGGCTAAATTATTCGAATTGAAGACCTCATCCTCCGTACTCAATTATAAACAGAACTATGTCTATGTGTATATACATACATACCATTTTTACTATATTTTTGGGTGGCATAATCATGTCAGTGCATGAGCACGTGATCTGTAGCTAGGATACATTGCATCTGATTTGTAAGCGCGCATGATATATCGCTGATATTTACACAGACAACAAAGAAAAACTTGGTGTCAAGCTCCACCGATCTACTGGTCAAATTTTCAAAAGCGCAACTTGCAGATTGTTCTGTTAGGCGAAAATTCGATCTCCCTTCTACGGTGTCAAATAGTAATCTCGGTTAGGTTTGAACACAGGTAAATGATTTCCAAGTCCTTATCACATAAAGACTACTGTGCTGGCTCTGAGCTCTCCTCCGAGACTCAATCTCATCCTTGCCTAACTAAATCTTTTAGACTCCTCTTGGTCAAGGTCATTGTTCTGGTTGGAAAACAAAGCCATATTGTGGTCCGCCAGCACACGATTATAAGGGTATAGCAACCTCTTAACCTCTTTTTTCAAAGAAGGCTGCTGAAAAAAATACCTTCAATTATTCAAATGGCTCTATCAGAGACGTGCCAAAATATTTCGGTAGGTTCTCTTCTTATCCCTACACCTACAACCATAGCTTAACCTTAATACAGTGTACATCACTAGTGACGGTTATAAATTACGAAGAAAAAGGAAATATTAACACTCTTAAGTACCTCCAACAATTAAACTCCGATGAATTCTAATGACTCCACCCTTTTGGCTTTCTGGGCTTATAGAGTGATTCATAAGGCAGACAGACGAAGAAGAATTTGGTTGGAGCATAAAAAAACTATGAAATTAATTGGAAGATGCAAACCTGCAACATTATTTATCAAATATTACCAAAATTTACGATCAAAAGCGTACTCAGATGCATTCTCAAAGAGCACAGATCTGGTACATTTCCCAAACTTAAAAACCAATGAATTTCAAGATGACATATTCACATACTTCATATTTTCAACAAAAAATGAACTCCCCTACAACAATTCAGCAATTATCTGCATTTATAATCTGAGACTCCCCCCTGCTCAATATCACTTCCCATAGAAGTATAAGAAGTACCAACCCCCTTAAAACTCATCCTCCCTCTGCTCAACATTCTCTTCAACGACTTCATCCTTCCCATCACAGGAGACTTAATCTCCTCCAACAACCTACTAGTTGGCAATGGCGAATCCGATGGCACTCTACTCGACGACAATGGAGCATTCGATGATGAGAACGCACCGTTTGCTCGTGACGGTATATCAATCATCAACATACCTTCCTTTCTCTTCCTCGAAGACGAAGATGGGGGAGGGGGGAAAGATCCCATATAACTCGAACTCCCTTCTTCATTCGATTTATTTACTGAATTCTCCCCTTGAGTCTCAACTGCAATCTCTACTACTTTTTCGTTAGCATGAGCTTCAACAAGGCTTCGACATAGAGGGCAGGTGTTGTTCGAATGGAACCACATATCAATGCATTCAACATGAAACACATGGTTGCATTTGGGAAGCAATCGAACCTCTTCACCATCGGATAACTCGCAGAGACAAACCGCGCATTCGATGCAATCTTCTTCTTCATTGAAATTCTTTGAGTTAAAGGTTGTGATTGGGAGAGAATTGAGGATTGATGGATCGAGAGCAAGTCGAGGGTGAGTCGGTTGATGAGTAGCGAAGCTGAGGCGATGGCGACGAGAGCTGAACGAGCCAGTGGTGCCTGAATATCCTTTGGCTTTGAGGTACAGAATGAGGATTGCGATGAAGAGGCAGAAGATTAAGACGAACGCTGCTACTGTAATCTGCCCACTGAGAGCAGCAGAGGCGCCTGCTGCATTGGCGTTTACGTCTTGGTTAGGATCTGACATTGGTGATGAGTTTACAAAACTGACGGAGTTGGGTCTTGGGATTGAGATGTTGAGATTTTGGGGGTTTGAGATATATAAGAGATGGTAATGAATGAGGCAAGAATATGCAAGAATAATGAATTGAGGATTGAGCACGTGAGGGTTATGGAGAGTCACCAGCCTTGACCAGCTGGTTAGCTGTTTCTGTGTTCTTTCTTAGATCAACTTGCTTTTATTTAAATTTGAGCATTGAAAAAGATGGACCTTTGGGCTTCAATTTGATCAGTTATACCTTGATTGTTTCTCTCAACGTTTCAAAGCCAATTTCACTGTGAAGGAGAGGTTTCTAGTCAATTTCACAGTTACTTCTCAAAAGGGATTTGAAATAGGTTAATTGCAAATAGGCTCTCTCTCTACTATCGCCCAATTGCTAATAGACCCCTGTAGTTTATTTGTTGTAAATAGACCCCGACTCTTTTTCCCTAAAGATCTCTCTGTCACGATAGAATTTCCTCTTTCTCCGGGAGCCAAAGATAAAAAGAAATTTTTACTGGAGGTGTCTACCCGCAACAATAGAACTGTAGGATCTATCAGCAATTGGGCGATAGTACATGGAGTCTATCTACAGTTAAACCTTGAAATAATCATTAGCAAGAAAGTTTGATATTTTTTTCCATTAAATCTTGGAATTTCTTTCGGGTTTGATTTCTCAAACCTTGTGAGGAATATTCCCACTCTTTAAACAAAATGAGTCTTCGTCTAAAGAAATAATTAGGACAAATTTTCAAAACCGACCCATTTGGGTTTTTAATTGCAAAAAACGACCGGTTTTGAAAATATTTACAAAAACCAACCTGTTTTCAGCCAGGGGCTGAAAACAGGTCGATTTTTTTAAATTTTTTCGGGAAACTTCACGGGAGTTGAACTCCCGTGAAGTTTTTTCTCATAACAAAACTTCATAGGAGTTGAACTCTCGTGAAGTTTGGAAAATTTTTTTTAAAAACCGACCCAGTTTCAACCAACTGGATCGGTTTTTATAATTAAAATTAAAATGGGTCGTTTTTTGCAATTAAAAACTCAAATGGGTCGGTTTTAAAAATTTGTCCGAAATAATTACGAAAGGACAGGTACGCATGCAGGACCATATGGACATGACATATGATAGTGATTTTATTTACTTTATTATTACTTTGGTACTGATATAAGAGTCATTTATCATCCTCTCAAGTTCTCCTTTCTCGGTCTGTTTCATTGAATTTTGTACATGCAATAACGCGCTGGACAATTACGCAATATAATTATTAAGTCAATTATTCTGTTGGAATAAATATTAGATACATTTCTTTCCTAGTATGTCTCAAATTAAATTTTCTCTGATTATTTATGAATGAAGAAAAACATGAAAGGTACAGGACTGGGTTATGATCCTCCCCAAGTTGTTAACTCCCCCGTCCCCAATTCCTACCTTGAGACCTTGCTGCACATGCCTCCAAACAAAGGAAGATAGAGTATAGGGAGTTCCTTGTTGACGTCTATCTACCATTTTCATATTTTAAAAAAAAAAAGGACTTTTGAATCATCTGTTATTAAAAATATCAAATGAAGGGTGAATAACAGTTACTGATCTGCTAGAGTCCTGCAGACATCAAGAACTGTAATTTTCATCACGTTCATATGATCATTTGTCAAAAAATTTACTGATCAAAATATTCAGAGATTTATCCGCACTTTGAGGACTACACGAAGGGTGAATAACAGTTAGTTTATCCGCTTTAGTCAAGGAAAAAGAATTGAGAGAATTGAGAGGGAGAATAAGAAAACCCAAGTTTGACCAAGTGAGCTGTCTCTGGGGTCATGAACCGGCTCTTGTCCTGCAAGAAAGAGACAGCAGCAGCCCAAAATATGATGATGTTTAAGCATTGTACTACTGTTGACCGCTGCTTTGTAGAGCTAGAGATGAGGTTTCTGAGAATTTGCTATAATTAATTACAAATAATATATGTTATAAAACATAGTACATTGGCGCACACGCAAGATTTGGGTTTTGACTGGAAAGCAGGATTAATACTTGTTCCAGTTGTTTCATGAGCCTCAAACTTAAAAAAATTCAACACATAAATTGGTTTCTTTTTCTCTAATTTTAAGAACTAGATCCACTTCACTAGATGCAAAACCTGGATATCCCTCAATTTCAACTTGCCGACGCTCGACATCTGACATTTAAAGTATTCGATATGTAACTTGTTTGTTTTAGGTAAGTTAGTATATATGGCGTTGCCGCGTTGCTTTTATCCTGCAGGTTTTACTGCATAGTCTTTTTGTTGGGGTTAATCTATCGACAGCCCTTGCCCTCCGGATCTTGTGACGAACAATTAGCAAGGAAGAAATCACAGCAAAACGAAAACTTCGCAGAAAAGAACAAATAAAAGGAGAGAACACCAGATTTAACAAGGTTCGACAAATATGCCTACGTCCTCGGAAGCCACACCAGAAATTCTTTGATTATTGAAGAAGATTACAATGCTTGCAATAGGCCTCTCTCTCTAAGATCTCTCAAAAAAGGCTCTCTTTTCAATGTATTATATTTCACAAAAACCGTTCAAGATATATATATATATATATATATAAAACCCTAACTCAAAACAAATTCCAAAACGGATCAAGAAACTGCTTGACCCGATATCGGTCGACTGATGTACTTGCACCAGTCGACTGATAAGGGCTTCTCAGCTTCTTCGTGCATGTTGTCGGTCAACTAGTGAGCTCCCATCAGTCGACTTACTAGATCGTTTTTCAGGATGTTTTTCTTACAGTCGAATCGATCGACAGATCCAAGCCCTTCAGTCGACTGATCGGGGGGTTTTCTGCTGCTTGTTGATTTTGTTCCCATGTTCGGTCTATGTTGTGTGCAGCGGAACTCGAAAGCTAAATAGTGCATAGCAAGAGCGAGATAGATCACAACCAATAAGTAAAACACAATCACCACAACAAGACAACGAATTTTACGTGGTTCGGTAAGTTGCATACGTCCACCGGGCAGGGAGGGAGGAGTTTTTACTATTAGAGATAAAGAGAATACAAATAGGGTCTACAATCTCGACAAAAACCCTCAAACAAAGCTCTCAAAATCTCTCACAAATTCTCCCTCAAAGGATGTACAATTCTCTCTCAAAAGTTGCTCAAAGTCGTCCTTCAATTAACCCTAGAAACAACAAAGTTTCTATTTATATGAACGACAAACTCAAACCAATCAGGAAACTGAACCTGGGCCATAATCGTGAACCGATCGTCTGGAATTTAGCCTCGGTCGACCGTCCAGAACGCTAAAATCTCACAAAATCAATTACAGGGTTTCAGTCGATCAAACTTAGTCTACCAGTCGACCGGACAGGGTTCGGTCGACTGACATAACTTCTTGGTCGACCGATCGGAAAATTAGAAAATCACCCTCTAGTGTGCACGTTTTCGGTCGACCATACCTGGGCTTCGGTCGACCGGACTGCACCAAAAATGTTTTTTGCTTTGTTTTTTATGAACTTTTTTGTTGTTTTTGCCGTTTCTACAATTATCACATCGGCGAAGTTTTCCAAAAACTAAGCTGATACCGAAAACAGCCAAATGTCTCACTTGTTACGTCTAATACGAAGTGGAATAAATCCACGATAACGGACTCAATCCACAACAGGTCGGGAACCCAAACGAGAGCTCAAACAACCCCCCCCCCCACGTCGAAATCAACAAATCCAACCGGCTGCATAAAAAAAGAATGTCTATGTATCCTCTTGCCTAAGAAAGCAAGCAGAACATAGTTCACCCAAATGGCCTTCAAAGGCCCTCAATATTGAAGAATGTTCAATATCTTCAAACAATGACCAAATTTTACACCTAAAACAACTTTGGTCAACATATCCGTAGGGTTGCCCTTCATTTGGATCTTCTCCAATATAACGTCTCCATCATCCAAAATATCATGAATAAAGTAGAATCTGACATCAATATGCTTCGTACGTGCATGATAAACCGGGTTCTTTACCAAATAGATAGCAGACATGCTATCACAATATATCCGAATGGTCTCCTATGCAATCTCCAATTCCTCCAACAATCCATGCAACCACAAAGTCTCCTTAACAGCTTCAGTCACCGTCATATACTCTGCCTCTGTAGTAGAGAGAACCACTATAGACTAAAGTGCTCGTCATATACTCTGCCTCCTTAACAGCTTCAGTCACCGTCATATACTCTCCCAATGCCTTTTCGAATGGTTCGTCATCTCTCTTCCGCAACTCATAATTCACCAACACTGAGGTCACATTCTTGTAACTAACAGTAGTTCTTCCATTGATCATAGTACCATAATCATCCTCTAGCAACGAACACAAAAGTAGCATCGCCTTGTCTTCATCCTCAATCATGATGTCCACATTAGTCATATCTGAAAGTAACCTCGTGAAGTTATTTACATGCTCCCTAATGGAAACTCCCCTCTTCATCTTGAACTGGTAAAACCTCTTCTTCAAGTGAAGCAGATTCTCAATGCTCTTCATAAGATACTTTCATTGAGCACTTCCCACAATCTCTTCGCCGATGTCTTATTCATCACATCATAAATAAGATCCGGCGTCAAGCATAACCGAATAACTCCACATACCCTACTATTCATCTTCTTCCAAACCTTATCCTCAATGTCTTCAGGTTTCTCTTGTAGCTCAAGAGTCTCCTCCAAATTCTATGCATCCAACGTATCCATCATCTGATACCTTCACAAACCGAAATTGATCTTGTCATCGAACTTCGAAACATTAATATTTGTATTATTGATGCTTAGACTTTGTATCGCCTTTGTAAGAGACGATCCCGATGTGCTTGCTTCTCTCGTGTTGTAGATCTAACTCTCCAAGTAAGAATTCTTCAGCGAATCCTTCGAACAAGCCCTATGACAAACCCGAAGCTCTGATACCACTATTTATGCGCAGCGGAACTCAAAAGCCAAATAGTGCAGAGCAAGAGCGAGATAGATCACAACCAATAAGTAAAACACAATCACCACAATAAGACAACGAATTTTACGTGGTTCGGTAAGTTGTCTACGTCCACGGGGCAATGAGGGAGAAGTTTTTACTATTAGAGATAAAGAGAATATAAATAGGGTTAATTTACAATCTCGACAAAAACCCTCAAACAAAGCTCTCAAAATCTCTCACAAATTCTCCCTTAAAGAATGCACAATTCTCTCTCAAAAGCTGCTCAAAGTCATTCTTCAATTAACCCAAGAAACAAAAAAGTTTCTATTTATATGAACGACAAACTCAAACCAATCAGGAAACTGAACCTGGGCCAAAATCATGAACCAGTCGACCGGAATTTAGCCTCGGTTGATCGTCCAAAACGCTAAAATCTCACAAAATCAATTACAGGGTTTTGGTCGACCGAACTTAGTCTACTGGTCGACCGGACAGGGTTCTCGGTCGATTGACATAACTTCTCGGTCGACCGATCGGAAAATCAGAAAATAACCCTGTAGTATGCACGTTTTCGGTCGACCGGACTACACCAAAAATATTTCATGCTTCGTTTTTCTTGAACTTTTTCGCCGTTTTCGCCGTTTCTACAGTCTACACACTCAAAACCAACACTTTGCAAAACCTGTTAAGTGAACTTTTAGAATATTTAATCCTTCATATTTAACAATAACGTTTGCTCTAGACGTTTCAGGATTTATGGATAATGGATAATGCCATTGTGGATTTTGGCTTGCTTTTTTCTTGTGAAAAAGAAAGATTTACGGATGGCCTGTTTTTTATAATGAAATTTCCTTTACGTTTCTTGGAGTCAGCATTCTGACACTTCCAAAACATCTTGATGTATGACAGTAAAAATACGAAAATGCTATTTGTCACGCGGGATGGACGCGCAGCCCATCTAGGGGGTGGGCCCCTACCTCTCTCACGCGAGATGGGCTACGCGTCCATCCCGCGTGACAAATAACAAAACCCGTAAAAATATTCTATGTTATCTTAACAGAAGAAAAAAAATATCTGGTTCTTTTTTCTTTTTCTTTTCTTCTTTTTGAGGTGAGATAAATGTCTAGACTTTTCGCAAAGATGCTTCGAATGAGATAATAATGTCTTAGACCTTTCAAAGATGCTTCGAGTTATCAGAGATGCTTCCAAAAGTTAAAGTTGGATAAAAACAGAACTACGCAGAAGAATTTATTAGTTGAAAAAAAACAACATAAATGAGAATCCTAGTCTAAAGTAACACTACCATTTGCAGAAGCATACCACATGCAAGTAACTGGTTGATTCTGAGACCGGAGGTCTCTTTTGTTTTCCCGTTGCTTAGCCATGCAGCTTAAGTTCCTAGATTTGTTTTTCTCATTTTCTTTCTCATTTCATTTGAGAAATTAATAGCTGCACTTTACTAGAAGCAACCTCTGATTACGAGACTTGCGTACCCTTTTCTTGACGTTAACAAACTTTTTTTTTATAAGGTAAATAGTGAGGCAAAGTTCCCCACGAGTTACATTAATAAATGCTTAACGAAACTTATCCAAAGGGATATAAACATGAGGGCTACAATATTTGTATCCTCAAGAAGAACAAAGAAAAGAAAAGAAAATTAAAAAAAAAAGAACACCATGTTGGATGGCCGCAGGAGCTTTCTAGACTCCGAATCCAAACTGAGAGAACAACTCATCTTCCGCAAAATAAAATTAAAATTGAAAAAAAAAAAGACAATTTAAGTTGATCAGGTATATCGCTACTGGTAAATATTTTTTTTCCAAGGTAAATTAAACCATATTCCATAGTTTTAAATGTAGGAAATGGAGGAAACTACAATAGTCTACTGCATTGCCTTTTAAGTAAAATCTAATATTTAATGACCCTTTAACTATTTAACTCTGTTATTTCATGTCGTATCCTAGCGTAGAACTTAAATGAAAATTTCTCTCTCATGTTACGTGTAAAAAAGGAGGACTGTCACAGGCTGTTCTGATAACGATATTTCCAGATTTTCTAACTCTCAGAAGATCCATTCTTTTGACAAAAAGTAAACATCTTTTTCTTTCAGAGTCTGCTTCAAGAAGTGAAAGAAGCTGGATTCAAAAACTACGTAAAAAAAATCTCTCGATCGGTTGAATCAAAGTAATGAACTAGTTGTATACATTTAAAATCCTCAAGCTAACAAATATACAATCTTAAAATTCACAATATCTACACAACGTACTACTCGCTTGAATTGCTCAACTCACAGATTACTGGCTGATTCTGATACTGGAAGATTCTTTTGTAATCCAATTGCAGTTCCTTGCTCAATATCAGAATTACCTCTCGGACTGTTCAAACTACCCCTGCTCAGAATTCTTCTCAGAGACCTCAATCTCTCCAACGCCGGAGACTTAATTCCCTCTGCAGGCAAAGTAGAAGAAAACCCCTCAGCTGCTCGCCTCGGTATCTCGATCGCTAACATCCCCTTTTGCCTCTTCTCTGAAAACGAGTCTCCTGAACTCGAGCTCCCTCCATCTAACTTTTCTGTGAAATTCTCTGATTCCGCAGAATCCCCAGTTCCTGAAACTGGTTCCAGAGACTGAACAGGGTTTCGACACAGAGGACAAGTAGAATGCGAAAGGAACCACATATCAATGCAATCAACATGGAAACCATGATTGCATCTAGGCAGCAATCTGATCTTTTCGCCATCATTTAGCTCCGATAAACAAACAGCACATTCAAGGCCGCCCTCCTCCTCAAAGTCCTTAGACTGAAAGAGGGTGATAGGCAAGGTCCTGAGGATTGAAGGATCGAGTGCCCTTCTAAAGGTACTCGGCTCATTCGGAGCGAAGGCCAGGTGGCGAGCGCTGGGCCTAGATAAGCCCATCGTCCCCGAATAGCCCTTTGCTCGAAGGTAGAGTACGAGGGCAACGGTGAAGAGCATGGAGACTATCACGACAGATGCTACGGTGATCTCTCCCGTTACCGTTGAAGACATACCACCGTTGCCGTTCAAGGAGTCACCGGAATCCGACATTTTTTCGAAAGCTGCGAGAGTTGTGCCCAAAATAGGAAGGCAAGGGAGAGTTTATATAGACTGGGGGTGGAGTTTATGTTTGAATTGAATACAGAGAGGGAGGGATAGGATTTTTTTTGTTTATTTTTTGTTTATTTTTTTATTTTTTATTTTTGGGTGCCGGGGACTAAAGACTAAAGAGAATAGTACAAGTTTGACAAAGTGCAGTGTAAGCCAAGGCGGCATTGTTGTTCGTTTGTTGAGATCAACTTGGTAGCGGGTGTGACCCACTTTATCTTCTTCTAATTGTTATTATCACTGATTTCATTCATTCATTCATTCCCCTTGTTTTGGTATAAAGAGAGATTTGTTATTGGTGAGATTCCAAGATGGACATGTAATTAAGTAGATTAATTAGGTCATGCTTAGATTATGAAAAAGTAAGTGATATCGTCATTAATCAAATGATGGTCGTGAATGTGCATGAATCATGAATGTGGGTACTGTATGGTACACTGATTCCAGCCCACTGAACTTGTGCTCAGCACAAGTGGGCTTCAGCCGGAAGAGTTTGCTGACGAAAGCGTTACGGGATAGGGCACTAAGCAACTGGCTGTTGAAAAAGAGAGAGTGGCCACAAAAAAGTTCGGTATGGAATTGAAATTTTTTAATCTCCATATATAGTTCAGCAGATATCTATATATCTTTTAGAAGATATTTACATATAACGTATACTGTCCTGCAAATTAAGGATACAATATCATGTATATATGCACCCTCAAATTAATAAAATCATGTATTTATTTGTTTCTAGTACTTTTATGATTAGCATCGATCTCAATCAATTATATTAATTGCATGGCCAACATCAAGTTTGTATGGCAAACGGTTGCCACATTCAGGAATTAGATGAATCATGCTGGTGACCGGTAAAGTGAAATGCCATAATAAATATAATGCTGATGGATGAAGTTTGATACTGTAATGTTTGTTAATACTATACTAAAACTGCAGCTTCAGTGAGAACTTTT